GGTTTTTTGATCCGGCTAGCCTCTAGCTAGCGGTGGGTGCTAACTCACATGTATTCAGTGACGGGGGCATTGCTGACAGTGTGGGCTGTAGCGGGCAGGCTAGCTTCGCTACCGTAGCTGGAGCCACAGCTGTAGAGACTGGGCATGTGAACGCGGTACAGGTTATCGTGCACACCGCCCCTTGAGGCACCCGACTCGTCCTCTCCGTCTTCCTCATCCGTCCTTCATTTGGTCAGGGTAAGGGCAGGGCATAAGAGGGCATGATGGATAGAAGGGGAAAAGGTAGAGGGGGAGGAGATCCGAGAGAGACAACAGAGTGTAAACAAGTGTTTGAAGAGGAGGTTAGGAGAAGGGAAGGTGTACTTGCACTATGAGGAGTCCCCTGATACAAAAGACTGGATTAGGACATGCCTCCAGCCACAAAGCAGCTGAACAAGAAGAAAAGAAGCATGGGTGGCATTCATCTACAAAACAGGTCTATTACAAGCACAATGGTCTCTAATATTACTGCACAGCCCAGAGAGGACCACTGACACAGTTTTTGGTTTGCCTGTGTGTGGTTACTTAATAACAAACTCCAAAAAGATACCAGACTCTTCAGAATTCTCAAAGTTCTCTTAGTACGCAAACACATGCAGCAGTTTTCTTCATGCAGTCCTCTGTTGGCATAGAAGGCTCGCTCCTGGTATTTACTGTCCATTTCATATTGTCCAAACAACGTCACATTTCATTTATTTCCCTTGATATAATTCATGCATCTCTGAGTGCTCCATGGAAATTAAAGCAAAAACGTCAGGAAAAAAGGAGATAATATGACTGGTTGGGCAAACCATTTTAGACATAAAATGGTCAAAAATGTAAAACGGCCAGCAACGTAACAGAATGAGGCATCAAATAAGATATGTGCTGATTTGGAAGTTGGATCTCTGGCTACAGAAATGTACTGGCTTCTACAATGTATAACCAGTCACAAAATACATGTACATGTGCATATTTAGGCCCTATTATTAAGACTATTTTTTTCTAATTTGTTGTTTTTGGGCATTATATACGAGCTGTTCACATACTAACAAAGTCGCATCAAGCTGGAATTATTTCAAAGAAGTAAAGAGGGAGGGCTCTGGATGAAGACTGTTTTAGCAGGGCCCTGTGTTAACACTGACAACAAGGTAGAGAAGATGTTACTACCCGACTGGCCACCGGATGGAGGTGTTTCATTCATTCAACCAGAATGGCTTTAAGCTGTGCAACCTGTGAACAGACTCAGCACAGAAGCCTAAGAAGCAACCAACCCTTTGAGTACTGATTACTGATAAATTCAGGGACATTATGGATTATTATTTAATACCTGCTGGGCCATACAGTAGCACTGCTGGTAATTCACGCCTGCCGACAACCATAAAGCACAACTATTATGGCACAGCTGTGTTTCATAATTCAGATCGTTCACCAGAGTGAACACCATCACTGCATGTATAATCCAGAGCTCTTCACACTGATTTGATGGTTTGAATGGCTAATTGAAAGAGTCGTTTATCTGACCATACGGTCGTTCAAAATCCACCATCATTCGCTGAAGCCCAAAGTATTTCCAAAT